GCCTGGCAAACAATGAGATGACAGACCCAGGTTCAATCCAAGTACCCAAGTTGAGTACCTGGTATAGTTCCTAAAATTCAGGGCACAAAATCACCCCAGCAGCTTCCCTAATTCTCCTCCTTTGAGTTCTGTACAGAGCCCTAAGAAAGTTACGAGGCATGAGATTCTTTTCCCCTCCAATGCAAACACACATGGCACAGACATATGATTCCCATCTGGATCCACCCGCGACTTCCGGCCAGGAGGCTGCCGTGTAGGCAGGAACGTCTGCCTTTGAATTTGCCAGCCTAACCTGGCACTCTGAGCCAGCCCTCTCCAAGCAGTAACACACAGAACCTGACAAAGCTCACATTTCTGTATACTCCATGGTTCTATCCATCTCTACCATTCCCTTGCCTTGTCAAAAGAGGTTGACCTGGGCCAGAAACAAGTCTGCAAAGACCAAACAAATGGGTCTTTATTTCTGGAAGAGAGCAGGCAGCCTTTCCTTTAATCCAAGGAACAGATGCTGGCCCAGGAGGAGAATGAGCAGAAAGCCCTACCCATCACCCAAAGGCCATTAAGGCCAGAAATTGTTACTCAAAGCAACAGATCCCCTCCCCTACTCAGGTTTCCTGATAGCATCAGTGCCCAGCCACTGCAGAGTTATAACCATCATCATCTCTGCTGGATTTTATGCCCCAGTAGAATTGGCAACATTCCTTCTATTTGCAAACAGATTGCAAAATAAGAACCCCAGGAAGGATACAGGCTGGCCAGGCTCCAAGGACTTTCAGTAGCAACCATGCTAAATCAGGGCTGCATCCTACTCCCTGAATAACAGAAGGTGCTGGCACTGCCTCCCAGTGGCCCAGGATCGCCAGAGATGTTTAGATTCCCCTCTCTCTCTTCCTCTCTTCTACTCTCCACTCCTCCCTCCCTCACTCCTACTTCTTGGAATAAGCAACCTGCAAAAAATGAGAGGGCAAAACTATATGGAAAAATTCTAACAAGAACCCATCATTGAGGTATAAACTTTTCAGGAGTTTTTTGATATGGGGATTTTATCTTCATGAAGACTGGCTTGGCACATAGCAGCAACAAAAACTCTCCAAATCATTTTTCTCCAAGGCCGTAAACCTTCCATCTCTCCATTGCCTTAGCCTAATATTCATGATCTCTACAATCTAGCCATTTGTGTGGATGTCCTCTCTTCTTTCCTGAATAGATCCTTCTCCTGACCACAACCCTTCAGTAGGTCACTTGCTTCATTATCAAACGCAAAGGATAAAATAACAATAACAAAGGCCACTACCAGTTAAGTGATTATTTTCTAATAGGCTCTATGATCAGTACTTTATCCATATTTTCCAATCTAATCCTAAAAAAATAAAATTCAAGAAGTAGGTTCTAAACTATTCCCATCTCTCAGTTAAGGAAACTGAGGTTAGAGATTTTAAGTAATTTGCTTATGGTCATAAAGCTAGTATGTGAAATGTTTGTATTAAAATACTGTTTTATTGTGGGCTAACAGGTGGCTCAGAAGTTAAGACAGCTGGATACCATATGGCCAATGGCGTGGTCTGAGTCCCCATTCAGTGGATTGAAAAACATGCTGGAAGCGTGTGCGTGTGTGTCCTAAATCCTGAGAGAAGGGAGAAGGGATTGAGGCATGGCAATCTCCCTCCTGTGGGAGAGGGGAAGGCTGGGAGTGATTTCTCACTTTCTCTTTCTCTCTCTCCAGCAGGTGTATGCACTCTATAGCAAACACACACACACACATACACACACGTGTGTATATATAGCACATATATATATACTCATGTACATACACATATGTATTATGTGTGTGTGTGTGTGTATATATATATATATATATATAAAATTTATTGTAAACAATTAAATCACATGATTAGGCTGGCAAGTCTCAAAATACTGAAGGTGAGTCAGCAAGTAGGAGAACCAAGCTAGTTGATAGTTTAATTCTTGTTCCCGTCCAAAGTCTGGAGAACAGGGAAAATTGGTGCCATTCTAGTACAAAGGCTGACAAATTCAAGACTTGGGAGGAGTTAATGTTTTTGTTTGGATCTGTTGAGCCTGATGGTATCAACTTTTGCGTTAAGGAATCAAAAAAGACAAAGGTAGACTGACAGCATGACTTCTATCTGCTAGGTGAAGATACAATTCTGTCTCCATTCTCGAAAGAAACTGAAACCACAGGACACATCTCTGGGGCTACCTCTTTCCCCAGATGAGGCCAAAAAAAGATATCTCAGAAGTCCAATTATTCAGCATCAGGGAAGACTGTGAAGAACTGTTCTGTAAACAAACTCACAAATGAATCCTGTCACCAGTCTTCAAAGATAACATTTGCATACAGTTCTACGTCAAGACCCAAAACCTGCCTCTGTCCTGAATTTCTGTTGCTCAGGTAAGGTTCTAGTCATCATGGCAGAGTGTAATGGGGTGCCTGAGAGGAAAATCAAGAGGGCTTCCTCTTAACCTGCTCTTCCTCTACATGGATTTTGCAAGAGACCAAGTAACATAACCGAGGCAAGCTATCTGTGCTCATGAATTCTGCCTAATGTAACAGTAACACAAAATTTCCATGCCCTAGAAAAGACCAACTTTGAACAAAAACAAACAAAAACCCTGATTTTATTTTTGTTTGCTCAGCTATTTATTTATTTTTTATTGCTAGAGGGTATTACCTTCATTCTCTTCTCAGCATTTTTGGGCACACCTGCATATGCTCCCAGTGTAAATTATAAGCCACTGGGTCCAGGATTCAAACCACGGTCAACTACATGGGCGTCCAGAGACATAACCACTACACCATCTGCTGGTCCCACCTTCTTCCCCTTCTAATGCTGTTCTCTCACCTCTACCTATGTTACTTTCCACCCTCTTTCCTCTTCTTTACATGTTTGTCATTTTACACATTAGCCAATGAGGGTATTACAAAGTGTATTTGCAAGTCAGTGTCCTTACAAAATCCAGTTTTACTACTGGCACACTGTTATATCAATGTGTTAATAATACACTGACTAAATTTCCATAAATGATATAACAATTCAAAACTACCAGGTCTGAGACTGTTACTAGATTATAAAAGGCAAAATTTGTGTGTTTGGTTTGTGGGGAAGACTAGGAAATGCAGAAAAGACATATGGGGCTGACTTTGAGGAAGAAGACAAAGTGAGGGATAAGAGTGAAATAAACACAAGAAAGGGATAATGGATATCAGAAAAAAGGACAAAAAATATAATAGGATAGAGAGATATACACAAACTGCATGAACAAACCTTGTAGAAATCACAATTGCCCAGCTAAGTCAATCTAACTGAATTGATCCACGTGTAAGTGAAAAACAAGTGTTTAATACTGTAAGCCCGTGAAGCCAAAGGGCTGCATCATGTGGGAATTGTGGGATAATATTGATAGATGACTGATACAATAACTAATTTATATAAACTCTCTACATATTATTTTACTACTGTTACTTATCATTAAACTATAAATTAAGAGCAATCTCTTTGTGTTAGTTTTGTATTGGTATGTAATAAATTACCACAAACAATTGGTATGTAATGAATTACCAAAACAATACTCATCTATTATATCACAGCTCTGTAGGTCTGTAGTCTGATAGGCTTGACTGGTTTGTCAGTCTAGGATACAATAAGAACAAATCAAAGTGTCAGTGGAGCTGGCTTGTATCTGAAGTCTCTGAGAAAGAATCCAGTTTCCAGCTCATTTAGGTTGTTGGCAGAAGCCAGTTTCTTGTGATTTGTGAACCTGAGGTTCCTGTTATTTTTCAGACTGTTGACTGGAGCACTCCCTCTACTTCAAAAGGCTTTTTCCCTTCCTTTTTATGTGACTGTCTTTTATTTCACACCAGCAACTGCCCCTCAAAGTCTTCTCAAACTTTGAATCTCTCTGGCTTCTTATTACATGACCAATCTCTCCAAATTGGTTTGCGGAAAATACACTTAAAGGATCCTAAGACAGGAACAATTCCATTCAAGTAATCTCTCACTTCTTTGTAAGCTAAAAGCAAACTGATAGTAATTTTAATTATATTTGTATAATCCTAAGCAGGATATGTTATCATATTGACAGCCTCAGCTATTTGGAGAGGAAATCCTGAGTAGGAAGGATGGATTTTTCATTATATCTTCCATACCTATTTAGAAAGTTGCTGGGTTTTCTTTTCCAATATATTCATTATTTTTATAGTCTATGTAAACTATTATTTATTCTTTTTTTTTTTTTGAGAGGTTTTTAGCTATAGGGCGCATGCGCTCGCCAGACAGACAGAGACATAGAGACAGAAAGTGAGAAATCACCCCTCAGGGAGGATGGTCACGCCACAATCCCTTCTCTATTCTCCTCTCGCGATCTTGGGCACGCACACACACGCATCCAGCGTGAGTTTTAAGCCATAGGGTCCAGGACGCAAACCGCGGTCGACTACGTGGGAGTCTAGCGACATAGCCATTATACTAATTGCTGGTTCCCCTACTATTATTTATTCTTAACAGTCCTTTGATGGGGTGAGGTGTATTGAAAATGATGTATATGGTAATATCCTTAATTTGCATGTCAAATAAAATGAGGGAAAAGGAGTAATAAAAGCAATACCTATTGAAAAAAAAAAAAAAGTCATAGGTGAAGCTGAGGTAGTATAATCTGAGTCACAGTGTCCAAAACAGTACCTTCTGTTTGCTTTACTCAACTCAGGATGTTCTATAAATGTAAGCTACATACTGGAATTTTAATAATTGGTGCCAAAAACTAATGTGAAATATCTTATTAATGACTACTATGTTGATTTTGAAGTGATCATTTTTTGGCTATAGAAAAAGGATTAAATAAAACATTATTAAAATTAATCGTATCTCTTTTTTTATTTTTTTAATGTGTCTATTGGAAAATTTAAAATCATGAATGCAGCTGTAATTATATGTCTACTGAAGACTGGTGGTCCAGAGAGTGTTTCTGTTTCTCTTCCAGGGTCTACTATGTGGTCCAACATCAGTGCTGCCCCATTCCTACTGACTGGATTCCCAGGACTGGAGAAATTTCATCCTTGGATTTCCATCTCTTTCTTTGTCATCTACGGCTCTATACTTCTTGGCAATGGAGTTCTCCTCTTTCTAATCAGAGGAGATCATACCCTTCATGAGCCCATGTATTATTTTCTGGCTATGTTGGCAGCCACAGACCTGGGAGTGACTTTGACAACAATGCCCACTGTACTGGGTGTTCTGTGGCTGGACCACAGGAAGATAAGTCATGGGCCCTGCTTCTTTCAGGCCTATTTAATCCACTCCCTTTCTATAGTGGAGTCTGGAGTCTTGCTCATAATGGCCTATGATCGTTTTATTGCCATCTGCAATCCTTTGAGATATACCTCCATTCTCACCAATGCTAAGGTGATAAAAATAGGTCTAGGGGTTCTACTGAGGGGATTTATGCTTATTGTGCCTATAATTATCACCCTCTCCGAATTCCCCTACTGCAGATCCCATGTCCTCTCCCATGCCTTCTGCCTGCACCAGGATGTGATCAAATTGGCCTGTGGGGACATCACCTTCAATAGACTTTATCCTATAGCCTTGGTCTCAGTAACTGGTTTCTTGGACTCTATGCTTATCCTTATTTCTTACATTCTAATCCTTAAGACTGTCATGCGAATTGCCTCAGGTAAGGAGCAGGCTAAGGCCCTAAATACTTGTGTTTCTCACATTAGTTGTGTGCTAGTTTTTTATGTCACTGTGACTGGGCTAACCCTCATTCATCGATTTGGAAAATATGTACCACATATAGTTCATATTATCATGAGCTATGTCTATTTCCTCTTCCCCCCATTCATGAATCCAATAATCTACAGCATTAAGACCAAGCAGATACAGAATGGTATCAACCATCTTTTTTCTTTTTGTAGAATTTGAGCCTGTTCAATGACTTATGGGACTTATCCCAGTTGCAGAACAAATTTCCTTAGAATAGACTGAAGCAATGCAACTCAGAATCAAGAGGGCTGGCATCCTTGTCATTTAAATGTCTCAGTGTCTTTGCTCTGATTCTTAGTACTCTCATCCCATCCTCCTCACTCCTCCATCACCCAGGTCACTGTCCTCTGTACTGCCGCTTTGTTTGTTAGATTGGTTTTGGTATATTTTGTCATGTTCTATTCTGGTACTGTCTCTAGTCTTAAAGGCCACCTGAGGTCAATAATCTTAGATATGGATGCAGAACTCCTAAAGGAATAAAATAATAAGTAGCTTGATGGAGTTCTTTGTCACTGTGTAGAAAACAATTCCCTATTCCTGTATGCCTGACAGAGTATCAGAAGTGATGAAGGGCCTTGTTCCATGTGTACTGCATGGTTTTAAAATGGATCAAAAGGAGATAAAAGTGAGATATTCACACCAGGAGAAGTCTTGTTGCCTATATAACCAAAAGCCGAACAAGAACTTAGATTTCAGTGGTTGCTGGCATGGCTATACACCCACCAAAAGTTAGTGGTAGGTCTGGCATTTGCCACCAAATGGGATTAGGGGCCCAAATAATAAAATAAATTTTTGTTTCCTTTACACCTGAGTGTTCTGTTCTTTGTTTGTATTTTAGCCTCTGTTTTGGATAACCTCTATAGAAGATTAATAAAAAAAAAGATACTAGTCACAGAATCATTTTTATACAGAGAAAACACATTGCCTTTTGAATGAATTGAATGTGGTAGTGATTAAATAAACTGCTTTTAGAAAAATTGAAATTGTATAGTCTTGAAGTAATAATATCTTTAACAAGGTGAAATGATTCTTCTCTCTTTTCAAGTTTAGCATAAAAACAAATGATTAGTGCAAGAGAATCAATCAACGAATAACTGATGGTTTTAATTGTTAATATTATGCTTTCCCTGTGATTCCTACCTTAGTAAGTGGAATTGCTTTCCACTCATGTAAAATCAGAATGCAGATGTCATTTTTCACTATCTTCCATCTTACTCAATTGCTACATTACCTTCTAAACCTTAGAATTTCCTTTCCATTCATTTCTGTCCAGCGACCTTGATAACATGCCATGCCAACAAATTCCTCACCTGGGTTATTACAATTGTATCCAACACTCTCCTTACTTACTCTTCCCCTTTTCCAATGTGTTCCTCATAGTTTAGCCAAAGTAATCTAATAACAATGATTATATGACCGTGATCATTACTTCAAACAGTTTGTTCTTAAAGTTATAACTCTTTTCAAGATTTGCAAGATCCTTAAGATTAGAACTTGATACCACAGATTCATTTTGCATAAAAAATTTCCACATGCTCTGTTGTTCTAGCTTTACTTGATTTTTCTTTGAATTGATAATATTGGTATTTTCTCCAGTCTCATGACTTTCATATCATCTTCTTTCTGTCTGGAGGTGAATTCCACCACCACTTACAATGACCAGAACATTTAATATTCTCTTTCTCATTTTCACTTCTCAGTTTAAGTGACCATTTTTCTAGGAAGTTTTCCCTGATGCCAAATATGTTTTCTCTGTGGTACATAGAAAACATAGATGGTACCATGTATGCTGTAATGATAGTGTTATGAAACTTGATGGGAAGTGTTTTTTCTTCATAGTTCCCATTATATGCTTAAATTCTGTGAATAAAAATAAAATTATGTTTTTTGTTGTGGACCTGCCATGGAATGAGCAATGTCTAAAAATAATATAATTTTAATAGGAAAAGTTGATTGTTTCCACATATAGCTTGTGGATCAGAACTAATTTTTTTAAAGAAATAGAGAAGGGACCAGTTAGTGTAATGGCTATGTCCCTGGAGTCCCACGTAGTTGACTGTGGTTTGAGTCCTGGACCCGATGGCTTAAACTCACGCCAGGCGCGTGTGCGTGCATGCCCTGGATCCCGAGAGGAGAATGAAGATGAAGGGATTGCTGCGTGGCCATCCCTCCTGGGGGATGATTTCTTGCTTTCTATCTCTCTCTCTGTCTGTCTCGCGAGCGCACACGCCCTATGGCAAAAACCTCTAAAAAAAAAAATAGAAATAGAGAAGACAAAATGCAATTGTAATTCATAAACTCTAGGACCCTTGAAGGTACATGTTAACCTGAGAGTATTCCCTTGATCTTTATGATAAACAAGGAGAAGTACATTTGTGGTTTCTTTAATCTAGATTCTGAGCATCCCGGTATTTCATAATCATGCCTGGGCAACCCTTTCAGATGTCATTTGAATTTCTGTTTTTCCTCATCCATCCTTGGGGAAGTCTGAAATGCCCAAGGACATTGATTAACTTCCAGACAAAAGAGAGAGAAAAAGAAGATCAAGGAGTTTTCTGAGTATTTGTAAATATGAAACTTTGGGGAATTGATTTATTTGTATATAAATTTGGTCTCCTGATGAGGCTAAGTGAGGGCATAGTCCTGGACTGAGTCCTCAAATAGAGCAGGAACAGGTCCCCATTCCAGCAACAAGGCTGTGAGTGCCAGAATAGAAGTAGGGAGTGATTCCTCTCATTCTGATGTTAGGTGCAATCAAGGAAAGCATTCAGGAATGTTTTCCATGGGACTGCTAGAAGGAAAGCCCACAGCTAATGTGGGAAACATCTGCAGCACAAACTTTTTTCTTCCTTACGGCAAGTGTATTCATGGAATTGTGCTAGATTTAGGGTTTCTGCTCTAGGACCCTTGATTTAGCATCAGGATAACTGTGAATGCTCTGAACAATATATGGCATTCTGTGTTTTTACCCAGTTTTTGTGCAGAGGTTTGTAGTTTTTAACTAGATCAAAACAATATATGTGTGGATATGCATGTGTGTTTATTTAAGAGTGACTCTCTTAGAAATGGCATGGGTAATTGTCAGTGGAACTCGCTAGGAAAAACCTGACACTCTCTCTGTGTCCTGTCACATTAGGGTTTATAGGCACAGATCTCCCATCCCACTCAGGAAAAAGGGAGTGCAAGCAATGAGAAAATGAAATGGAGATGGAATTAATTGTCTTCCCCATTCACTTATTTGAATTTTGTGATAAAGTCACTGTTTACTAGTTTCTCTTGGAGCCCACACATCTTTCCTCTGTTATTTCTTCATACACCAAGTTTCCTCTGTCCTTTGCACTTCTCCCTATCTATTACAAGCTATGTTTTCATACTGATTGTAATGGGCTATTTCTATGGACATGTGTGTCTGTTTTTCATGTCTTGGGAAGAATGTTATGACTATGATTATTTTTTTTTCATCAAGAAAAATGTTATGGCATGAAAATCAGGTTAGTAGAACATTTTGAAGGAACAGGACTCACACCTGTACCTTTTTTTTTTGTGTTTTTAGCATTGTGGATCATATTGAAATATTCATGGCAACAGTTAGCATGAAAGTACAGGGAGATTAATAGGTCCAATTGTATACCCCTAGTCTACACTGAGGGCTTCTTTGGCAAAAACTGTACTTACTAAAATTTTTTTTTTTTTTTTGGCGGAAATCAACACATTGATAACCATGTGCATGGCATGCACTCACTAATTGTGGGTAGAGTTAAAATAGTGATCTTTTCACTGGTCCCAGATGAAGTTGATGGATGGTGTTTCTACCATTTAGGAAGGTTTACATCTCATATAAGTCAGCATTTGAAGGACAATTTATCAGCTATCAATCAGTTAGGACACAGAAGAGACTTGGGAAATGACTATGGAAAAAAAAATGCTCTGAACTGAAAGTTGCATCCCATTTTCAGAACTATAGATGTCCCACAAACATACAGGAAAAGATTCTTATGCCTCTGTTACCCTTTCAGAATAAATAGTAGAACAGTCTTTATGAAATTTTATTACACAGCAGCAACTGGGGAGGAGGCATGCAGTATGGTCCCATAGCTGAGGAAGCTGATGATTGTGAGCCTCATTTGGATGGTGGTATCTTGGCTCCTAGAAGCCCCACACTCTTGGTTCTGAATGAACATAAGGGACCTCTAAGTTTGGGCCAGCTTTGTCCTGTTTACCTTTTATTCCCTAAATTATGATCTTCCATATCCTTACCTATGTCCTATTTCTTTGCTGTTTTTTTTTTTTTTTTTTTTTGTTTTTTTTTCTGACCCAGACTAGCTGAGGAGGGAAATATACCCTTCCTGTTTCACAGTATCATTCGTTTTTCTGATTAAAATAGTAACATATTTTCTTTTGGGCCTTGATTATTTTATTACTAATTTCTGCAAAGACCTACTTAATTTTCAGAGAAGTCCACAAAAGTTTTAAAAGGTTACTATAGTCTGTAAATCTAGTTTTATCGTTCTAAATTTATATTCTTGAATAAACACAAGAGCTTTTCTCTCTCTACTATTTTACCCTTCAGGATAAATACCACTAATTTTCTACCACTCCAGAACACTTTTCTCTTTCTATTGTAATTGTTGTACCATACATGATTTTAGGCATAAATACACTTTTAGGGATAGGACAATGTTTGTACAATAATTATTTCAACTTTTTTTTCTTCTTCTTCTTCTTCCCTTTTTTTGTTGTTGTTTTAGGGTGTATGTATGCACTCACTAGAAAAAGAGAAATAGAAAGAGAGAGAGAAGAGAAAAAAGTACCCCTCAAAGAGGATGGCCATGCTGCAATCTCTTCTCCATTCTCCTCTCAGGATTTTGGGCAGGCACGCACACAAACCTGGTGTGATTTTCAAGTCCCTGAGTCTGGGGCTCAAACTGTTCAGTCAGCCATGTGGGATCCAGCCATCTTAACCATCACACCACTATTTAGTCCCATTATTTAAACTTCTACATTATTCCAATGTGCTTTAATTTAGGGCACTCTTTTTGTTGGTAATTTCAATCTTGGTAAGTACAGTGCTTATGGACATGTGACTTCAGAAAATTTTCTAGCACAGCAGTTAGAATCTACATGATTTGATTATGATCTATTTCTGTTATTAAATCCAT